CAAGAGACTCTGGAGAGGCTGTTTCTGACGTCATCGTGAGGAAGGGGGGAAGGGGACGGGGGGGAAAGGGAGGGGGGGAGGGGGGGAAAGAGGGGAGGGGGGAAAGAGGGGGCGATTTCATATTTCCATAGCGTTGCATCGTCTACCGAGATGTTTCTCGGCGGTGTTGCATCCCATTGTGAAGAGAACAAAAGAGATGCGCGAGGATCGACCCGAGAGGATTCACCTCTGAGGCAATCCGGCGACCCCAAGGCCAAAAATCCCGAGAATCCGCCGCGTTGCCGTCGGTCGAGAGGAAAGCGAAAGCGGGTTCCTCGCGATCCGACGGGGGAAAAGAAAGAAGAAAAAAAAAGAGCCGAAAGTCGGGGCGTGAAGCCTGGAATCCCTTTCGAAGCGGTCGCATGCTCCGATGGGTCCTCAACGAGAGCGAAAAAAAGGGGGAAAAGGGATGCAAAAGGGATGAAAAAAAGACGTACGTTGTGAGCGACGTCTCCGAGGTGTTCTTCCTTCTCCGTCTCGAGGAAGTCTTCTTTCTCTTCGCGGGTGTTCGTCTTTCTCTCCGTCTTCTCCGAGACCACCTTCGAGCCGGGGATGGCTACCCAGTCGCCTTCTGGGGGGTCGTCGCCCATCTTCCGATGCTAACAAATAACCCGGTTCCTCCCTTTTAGTTTCGTCTTCCTCAGACTTTATTTCCTTGATCGAATCGAAACGCTTTTCAGTCGATGAAAACGTTTTTAAATCGACGAAAAGGAATTTCCTCGCGCGGGACGGGCGAATCCCGCCAAATCGAATACGCCCGCCTCGTGACGTCACTCGCCGGGACAAGATGGCGTCACCCCGCGACCCTCCCAATCCTCCTCCCTTCCCCGACCGTTTCAACGCTCGAAATGGAAGTCGTTATACCTCCTGGTCCTCAGTCTCCGTGGTGACGACATCAGCGGTCGTGTTCGTCGTGACGTGAGGCCCGGTGTCGTCTACGACCTTCCCGTCTTCCAGGACGACCTGCCTCTGGACCCGCGTCTCCACCTGCTTCGTCGTCTGCACCTGGACCTTTCGGCTCGTCACCCATTCCTCTGCGTAATCATGATTATCATTAATTATCATTAATGATGATTAATTATTATAATATTAAGTTTCAACATTTTCGAAACTTTTTAAGTCGTTCTCGACGACAAGAAATGCGAGTTGGCTCACCCTGTGTCGTCGTCTCCACCTTATCCTCATCCGACTGAAACGAAAAAAAACCACCGAAAATGAAACCTCGTGACTTAAAAAATAAAATAAAAAAAATGAAGAAACGAGACGCACCTCGTCGCCGAGGCGTTTCGGGACCGGCGGACCCGACTTGTAATGCTGACTGGCGATGACCTGGAGGTTATTTTTGTTCCTTTCGAGTCCAGAGTTGGTGGAGGAAGGCATTTTTTTCTTCCCCTTCACATCACTCTCTTTCTCTTTCTCTCCGCGTCAGAGAATGAAAGTCATCTGAGGATCGATCAAAGCAGGCGTCGTTCGAGTAAATTCGGCTTAACGTCATACGTGCAGAAGGCTTAGCGTCATTTATGCGGAAGGCTTAACGGCATATATGCAGAAGGTTGAGCGTCATATATGCAGAAAGCCTATTAATACTAGAGGGAAGGGGGGGGGGGAAGGGGAGGAAGATTCGAAGACCTGCGCTCGACGTCAGGTGTTTCAAGTTTCGCAGCTTTGCATAACGAAAATCCACGTCGTTACGTGGGCCTGCATCGCGAACGCGGATCGAAAGGGCCACGCCCGAGGAGAAGCCTGTTTTCCATCCCCCGTCCAAAGCCCACGGAGGGACGAATGGATTTGCTCCGAGCGGGGCAAAGCGGACCGAGCGGGGCAAAGCGGACCGAGCGGGGCAAAGCGGCCCCAGCAGGGCAAAGAAAGGAGGATGATGAAGGATCCTTAATAATCGGAATGAGAGATTAGAGGCTCGAGGCGCCTCGGAAATGACAATGCCCGGGCTCCTCGCCTTTCCGGAGCGTGGTTCCTCTCGCCCGGCGGACTCCTCTCTCGCTCGACGAGCGGACTCCTCGCCCTCTCGAGTGGGTCAGCGCTGACACACTTTTCCACCAAATTCTCCCCTTGGGCCTGGCAGCAACCTCAAAATCACGGGCCTCGGCACTTAATTTATGCTCGTACCTTTCTTTGAATTCACTCGGCGACGCAGAAGGGAGAAAAAAAAATCCGAGGATTTTTTTTTCGTGAAAGGCAATAAATAAAAGGCGATAAATTTCTCGTGTGTCTCGGTAACGAGGTTCCTCGTTCCTCGTTCCTCTTGGGTTCATCGGACCGCTAGCGGAAACGCATTGTACCCGAGACCCGCAATGTCGTACGAGCTCACTCTGAGCTCACTCGTGATTTAAATGCAAGGCCAGGAGTGGCACGAAAGAAAAATCCCCTCGTCTCCCCTCCGCAGTCGGTTGCCATGCGAGCACGATGCGCATGGCACGATGCGCAAGGCACGATGCCATTCTCCCCCTTTCCTGTCGGGTTCGGAGTTCATCGGACTGGGGGAAATTCGGGTTCTTATGTCGGGAGATACGAGATGGATGAAGGAACGACCTTTGACCTCGATCCCACGATCTTCCCCCAAATGCCGTCCTATCAACATAACTAAAAAAAAAAGAGTTAACGGTGAATGAACCCCCCTCAGGAAAAACGCTCATTTACGTCTAATGCAGAAAAATTCCCGTCGGCTTCTGAAAAAGTTAACCAAGGCAAGAATGCGGGATTAATAATAAAAATCTGGCTCTCTAAAAAAAAAATGAAAAAAATGAGGCAGGTCAGTTCGCGCGGTTGCATTCTTTTTTTTGCTTTAAAACCCAGAACTTCTGTCGTAAAAGCGACCTGATGAAAAGACATAAAAGATTTTATGGGATGAGAGCAGGTCGATTCCCATTAGCCTTGCTGAACGCGCTTCCCCGCTTCGAAGATACGCCACAGTGCAAACCAAGTTTCCAAAAATGGTAAGCATTTCGACGCGTCCGTCCGTCTGCCAAGATCCACGAAACGAGATAAGAGACTTGAGGAATGCGACGGAGCGAAGCACGAAACCCCCCTCGTGAAGCACGAAGCCAGCTCCGCGAAGCACGAAGCCCCCTTGCGATCCGCGCGTCCAAGTCTCCACAGCCGCCGCGAATGAATCACTCGCTCACACGTGTATAATGAAGAGTGACACATCGGCCGGAGGAGAAACACGAAGGGGAGGGATTCTTAATGAAGAAAGAGGTCATTGGACAAGAGCCCTGGAGTGAAAGGGGTGCAAATGAAGACGCCCTCTTTCCCCCTCTTTCCCCCTCCCTCCTTCGAGCGAAGCTGCGGAGGCGGGAAATGCCCCGCAAATACCCTGGAAAACATCCCGGATCGACTCTTTCATGTCACGGAATCGACAGTTATGACTCACGCAGGGTGACATTGAATCCGTGACCCCCCCATACCCCCCTCCCCCCCTCTTCTGTAGGCCTCCACTGCATGGCCATGTAATGAATATCCTATCGATCTCTTTCATCTCCCTCCCCTTGGCCCGTCCGACTGGTTCTCGCTTTTTCTCCTATTCTGGCCATGTCCAGAGGCCGAGCGAGGAGGGGGGGGGGGCAAGGGGGCTTCCTTCGCCGCATTCTCTCTCGTCTCGAACGCGCACTCACGCACTCTTCCTCGAATTTTCCAGCGCCGAAAACGTCATTTGCCAACCCTGAACCCCCACCTCGAGACGTTTCCGCCCATCGGAGGAATTTCCCTTCGCATGCATGCCGTCACGGGCCGCCCATCGCTAAATAAACCGTCATTCGAACGCACCGAGGAAGTCGAAAAAAAAAAGAAAGGATAAGCAAGAGTACAGAGCAATGAGAGAGAGAGAAAGGCAAACAGGAGTGGAAAAGAGAAGGAGGTAGTCAAACAGGAGAAACCAAGGCTGGAGACTCGGAAGACCTTGAGGGCTTTAAGCGGGACGAGCCGGGGACACCTGGCTTCGTTTCCCCGCCCCGATTCCCCTTCGACCCTCCGTGCCACCCCGTTCCACTCGGAGATGCCGGGTTCGACAGGGAATCGGGGCGATCGGGGGGCGACCCCCGCCCCGACCCCGGGGGAGGGGGGGAAACGGGGTTGGAAGCGGGTCCAGCTGCGGGTTCGAGTGCGATTGCGTCACGAGGGATGAAAAAAATCCCTGGCCTTGCATTGTCCCCGTGCTGGCCGCATATACATGCCTGACCTGCCTGCATGGTCACTTTATACATGAGATCGGCCCCCATGTCCCCTCCCCTCCCCTCCCCCCCCCCGTCCATTTGTCCTTTATCGTCGCCAGACGTCTGACCTCCGGGAATACCTGGACTTCCCCAGATTCGAAATGGAAAATCCGATCGTGTTGCGTAATGGAGTCGTTTTCATTCTAGTCGCGAGCACGTGCGTCGCTTTCGACGAGATTTCTAGAGCGTGCAGGAGTCGTTCTGGAGCGCCTTGTGTTCGCGGGACGTCGGCGGGAAAATCGGGGTCAGTGTCATGTCGAATGCAAGACGGGAGACACAATGGAATTTCCTCTCTCTGTCTTGCCGACTCCCATGTATTATGGATCCTACCCTTTCTTCCCGGGTCCTTGATGGGTCGACCCTCCCTCACGGTCGACCTACCCTCCCTCAGGGCCGACCTACCAAGGACCTGGCCTCTTAGCGGCTTCCAGGCGACGGGAATTAAGGGCGGAAAACGAGGAAATCCGGGAAAGTTCGTGTCGAGGCCGAGGTCGCGATCATCCGTTCGATTATCCGTCCTGGATCGGATGATCCGGGGACGAGCTGGCTCGTCTCGCTGCGAATTCCTCAGAAAAATCTGGAGGTGGGACGCGATGGGCGGATCCGCGGGGGAAATGCGAGATGAGGTTGGATTCCGCCCACGAAAATCGCCTTTCACTACGCATTTTTCGCCGAGGGCGAGTTTCCCGATACAAACGCGACGGAACGCGCTGGAAGGCGAGAACGACGTTTATAGGTTTTAGCACGAATGGGGGAAATGGGGGACAGGGGGGGGGGGGAGGGGAAGGGATCGGAAGCTGGCGGCGTGACGCGGTGGGGGGGCACGTGCACCGGATTTGACACGCGTGACCGAGCGTGAGATTCCGTCTCTCACCTCGTCGCTTCGCACGTCAGGAAATAGACGCGAGACGAAACACGGGAGGAGACACGAGAGTAGACACGGGAGGAAACGAGAGGAGACAGGTGGATGTACAGGAGGAGACACCGGGAGGCACGGGAGGAGACACTCGGGCGTGGACGCGTTCAGCTGCCTTCTGGCCGGAGAGACTCGGGAGGCTGCGTGCGAGCGGGGCCGAGACACAGCAGCGAATTCCGGACTCGTGACGTAACACGCTCCCCCCTCCCCCCCCCCCGCGCTCCCCCCCCCCGGCACGGGATCTCGGCGAGGCCCCGCAGCCATTTGGGATGCTGGATGCGGGGGATACCACGGATCTTCCACAGCTGGGCCGGATGGTGACGTCACCGTTCGCTCCGGCGTCTGTATTCGCCGCGAGAGTCGGGTCATCGTCGCGGGAGGGAGGCAAACACCGAAAATTTTCCGTCGTTTTACGTGTCGTCAGCAAATTTATGCAAAATTCCGAGAAATTCCATCATCTGCTGCGTGGCGTCATGCCTCGCCACGCCACACGTGCGTGCAATCCTCCCTCTCTCCTTCCGACGATGCGACGCCCTTCTCGGCCGTCGCCCATTTCGGCACCGCGTCCAACGAACCGCAGCGTGGCCGACGGCCGACGGCACGAAAATCGCAGGAGGAAATCCGGACTCGACGCAGCCGACGTTGGCAACCTCGGTCCCCTCCGACACTCGTCTCGTTCCCGACCGAGAGCGGCAACAAATATTTAGCTTTCCCTTGAAAGCATACTCCTCCCTATGCTTCTTCGTGCAATTTCGAAGACTCGTTCGAAACAAAAAGAGGTTGATGGAAATTGTGTCGGCGGAAAGCGGCTCGCGTTATTTCGTGGGATTCTGCCTTGCTTCACCCCATCGTCCCTGGCATTTCACAGCCTCCAAGGCCGATCCCGAAAAGGAGCCTAGAAAATGAGAAAGGAATCACTTCCCTCGGGTACGTTCCGACCTATCGGATCGCCAAAACCTCCAAGGGAGGCATCCAGCCACCAGCGACATCTCTCGCCGGGCTCACGAAGCGCTCGGCGAAACCTCCCGCCCCGTCAGACGCAATCTCGACGCCCTCGAGAGCGGATGCCTCCCCTCTCGCTCCCCCCCCCGTCTGACGTCACGCGGAGGTTCCTCGCGTCCCCGCGATGGCTCTCAGCGCTTTCGGTTCTTCCGAGCCATTTCGTTCCAGCGCTTCCTTGCCTCTGCGTCGGCTTTTTTTCCCCGGAGATTCCGATCGCGGTCGGGCTGGTTTTTATTTATTAACTGCGATTGAGAGATATCCGAGAGAGCGGCGAAACGCGTGGAACACGCATTAAAACTGAAGGAAATCGAGGTG